CACTCATTATAATGTTGACTTTAAGGGTTTGGAAGTGCGGGATCTACTGGATATATTCAAGACACTGAAGAGACTGTTCCAGTCTCTGATAGATAACATTACAGAGTTCATGGACACAAACGACTTGGTTAGACTGTCGGTCGAGTGTCCGGAACTTGATTTCCCTATCACCCTTCCGTTCATGAATGTCTCGGCTCTGACTGCCGATCGTTTGTTGTCAGAAATAGAGCGCGTTTTACAATCCTATGTTTTGGACGAGACTTTAGATATTGAGCTCGTACATGTAAACATGCCAAAAGGTGGTACAAGGAAACACTGCCATTATGTGGATTTGGAGAAAATGATGAAAGACAAAAGGTGTTTCATCAGAATTCAAAATGATGATGACCTCTGCTGCGCCAGAGCCATAATCACCGCACAAGCGCGCATTGATGGTCATGATAAATGGAATAGCATCAGGCTAGGTAAACAAAACTGCAGGGAACACTTGCAAAGGATTTACATAAAAGAGCCTCTAAAGAAATGTGGCGTGAAGGAGATTAAACTCTTCCAAACTGCGATGCCAGACTACCAGATCGTAGTGGTGTCGAAGGAACATTTTAACGCCATCGTTTACGCTGGACCGGAAGCCGACAAACATTTATATCCCCACGACGACCACTATGACGTCATCACAAGTATGCCGGCATTTTTGAGCAGAAATTATTACTGTATACAATGCAGAAAGGGATACGACCACAAAGAAAAACACCGATGCAACAACCCGTGCGTGTACTGTCATCAACTACACGAAGACATTGACGAACGTTGGCAGTATTGTTCGGACTGCAATAGATATTTCAGGAACGATGTATGTTTCGAAGCACACAAGAAACAGTCACCGTCTGGAAAGTCCACGTGTAACACCTACTACCGGTGTAAACAGTGTAGCCAGGCCATCAACGTATCACTGCATACCAAGACGCATGTGTGTGGAGAACGTTACTGCAAAACGTGCAAGGACTATTTTACAGACGACCATCAATGCTATATGCAGACGGTTGAATTGGAATCAGACCGGACCACATATAACGACAAAACAGAGGATCAATTCGACAAGAAAACAAAAAAGACCTATTAATTCTTTGATTTCGAATGCACTCAAGACTATATGCTGGGATGTGATCGTGGTTACAAACATGGGAAGGGGAGAAAGTGCATAAACTGAAAAAACAACGTGGTGTGGATCCTATGATCATCGTTCGAATTTGTGTGTCGCCCATAAAGTCTGTGAAAAATGTATGGCTGATGACGTCACACAAGCTAGTGAGTGTAACAACTGTGGGAAGAACGAACACATTTTGACACAACAAACGAATTCTGCACATGGTTGTTCTCGGAGTCACGGATTACGGATCCAAAGTCACAATATTTTAAAGGATTTGACAGCTACCCCATTTTAAAATATCTGCACGAAAACGCAATCTTACCGGAGGTAATCACCAGTGGGTCCAAATACCTGTCCATCGATGTTCAGCAGTGCAAAATGAGGTTTCTGGACAGCATCAATTTTCTACCCATGGCGTAAGCAGACCTCCCAGAATCGTTTGGGGTCGATAAATTAGCTAAAGGTCATTTTCCCCATCTGTTCAACCGGAAGGAAAACCAACGTGCCCGTCTCTCCTGTCTTCCTGACATGATATATTACCACACTGGTGGAATGAAACCGAGAGAAAATTATTTGTTTAATGGTACAATACACACAAAAACGACGAATTCGTGTTTCAAGAGGAATTACTGATATATTGCCGCTCAGATGTTGACATACTTTGACAATGTTGCCTTAAATTCCAGACTATGTTTAAACAGATGACGGTTCATGATGGAAATCAAGGCATCGATCCTTTTGAACGATGCATCACCATAGCTTCCGCATGTAATCTGGTGTACAGGACCAACTTCCTTCAGCCGGAAAGTATTGGAATCATACCACCTCACGGGTACCGACCAGAGGACAAATATTCCATCAAGGCTATCCAATGGCTCAAATATATCGCAACGACGGAACACGTGGAGATACAACACGCGGTGAATGGCGGAAAAGCATATTGGACCATACAAAGCTGACGGATATATCGAAACAGAACAAAATAGTCTATGAATTCAATGGCTGTTTCTGGCACGGGTGCACAAAATGTTTTGCGAGAACCACCATGAATACCGTAACTGATTGTACAATGGCCGACCTACATATGAGAACGTTGGATAAACAGCGGTATATGGAGGACCTAGGATACACATACAAGTGCATATGGGAGTGCGCATTCAACCGGCAATGTAAAACAGACATTTCCGTATGTGGATGCAATAGACATGTTGAGTCCCCTAGAACCGCGAGAAGCTTTCAAGGGTGGACGAACGGAGGCTTTCGCAATGTACGCAGAGGCCATTGGAGACGAGAACATAATATATTATGACGTCGCATCTCTGTACCCCTACATCAACAAAGTAGGAAAGGTTCCACTAGGTCACCCCAAAATTATAACGGAAAACTTTCAAGGTATCGACGCTTACGAAGGACCGATTAAATGCAAGATACTTCCTCCTAGAGGTTTACACATACCCGTGCTTCCATACACAGCAGGTGGAAAACTGTTGTTTCCTCTCTGTCGCACGTGCGCCGAGACTACATCACAAACGCCATGTGACCATGATGAGGAGGGGAGAGCCATCACATACATCTGGGTGACCGACGAGGTGAAAACGGCCTTGAGAAAAGGGTACAAACTTTTGAATATGTACGAGGTATGGCATTTCGATAGCGTCGCCCAGTACGATACCAAATCAAAAACTGGGGGATTTTTTACGGAGTACGTAAACGCCTTTCTGAAGCTGAAACAGGAAGCAAGTGGGTGGCCAATATCGTGTAGCACAGATAAACAGAAGGAAAAATATCACTCCGACTATTTCGTAAAAGAAGGGATACTGTTGGACAAGAACAACATCAAGAAAAACCCTTGATTAAGAAGGCTCAACAGGTATACTTTATTATTGCTATCCTCTTTTTCTTACATTTAATTACGTCAGAGGTTCTGATAAAACAGCAATAAATACATTGCATATCTCCAAATGAAAGTAATGGTACACATGTATGCATTTTGTAAACATTGTCAGAATAAATGTATGCAATTTTTGTTGCATGTGGATAGGTTTTTTTTAATGATTTAAATAATGGTGGTGTGCAACCATAAACGAAAGTAATGACCGAGTTGTCGCTCTTGGGAGGTTGACGAAGAAGGCAAAGGGGCCCAAAAGAAAGAGATAGCTTGGGGTGGAAAGCACGGGCGCGAAGGAAAAAACGATGATCTTGACTGGTGTTTAGTACGGTAGGACACTAAGTGGACGTTGTCCGGGATGGACATCGACACGTGTGTGTGGTCATGCCAAAGAATCGCGAGTGAATTGTTCGTGTTGGCCAATACTCACGTGAAATACACGTGAAATTATCCAAAGATCCGTTCTTTTGACAAACATATTTGTATTCGTGTTCTACTAACACTTTAAAACGTTCTACTATTTTCAGTTTCTGGGGTAAATTCGGTCAAAGGAAAACATGGTACAGTCGACCTACATCTCCGATAGAGACATCTATTTCGACATGATGACCAGTGACAGCCAAACCATCAAGAATGTAAAGTTTGTCTGCGATGACATGGTACGGATGGACTGGTTGTACGCAAACGATTTCATCGAAGCTTCTGGACGCACAAACGTGGTTGTCGCAGCGTACACGGCCGCCCAAGATCGTCTCAAGCTCTATAGTTACCTTGAACGGCTAGACACACGTGTCCTCTACTGTGACACGGACTCTGTAATATTCACAGTTCGTCCTGGTCAGTGGGAACCTGAGCTCGGGGACTATCTGGGCGATTTGACTGCTGAAGAGTAAGGAATCGACCTCACATCCTTTGTAACTGGTGGGCCCAAAAACTACGCCTATAACATCGCAAAACCCAACAAAGAGGGAAATACCTCTTGTTGCAAAGTACGGGGGGTCACGCTGAACTACAAACATTCTTTAGACATTAACTTTGATGTGGTGAAGGCAATGGTAACCAGAAAAAAAAATGTGTGACAGTGCTAAACGAGCACAAAATATGTAGAAACAAAACAAACTGCAAGATCATCACAAAAACAGAAGAAAAAGAATACAAAATTGTTTTCCACCTTCTTTGTTATGTAAATATTCCTGCATTATAGTTCTCGCTATTATTAACAGTATTTGATCGTGATGTAACATTGTTTGCTGTATGATATTATCATACACTATTATTATGCTCCAATGTAATCCGTTGGTGTAAACTTGAATGTAGTTACTTGTGATATTAGGTGTTGTAGCATCATATGTCGCATATGATCTGTAATAAAGAGTGACATTTAACTCGTCTATGCATGTTTCATAATTAATCAAACTGGATGTGATATTTTGAGTTTGTTTGTTTATTTATTTATTTATTTATTTTTTTTTAATTAAGAAAGATTCTATCGTTAAATCACCAATGAGTAAGAATTAGAAACGGAATATCACAGCGGTAACAAAACAATATGTCGCCCTGACAACGCAATGTTTCTTGCTAATTGGTCATTATCACTTTTATTGGATCAAAGAATGTACCTGTTACGTCGTTATGACTACGTGTTAACATTGTCCTTTAAATGTTGTACAATGTCACAATAGCACTCTAGGTGTGAAAATGTCAATAAAAAAAAATTAAAAACTCGACCGCTACTCCTTTGTTATTATGCATACATTAATCTAAGCCCTCCGAAAAATCCCTCCTCAATCCAAGATGGCGGCTTACATAGATAAAGAGATAAAAAAGTGGTCTATAGAGATGTAATAGACTACTCAGAGCCGTCATACTTAACGGTTATGACCCAATCGCTTGACTTGTCAATGTAGAGGAAGAGACACATCCGTGTTACTCTATGAGAAACAACGATCGTATCTGTTATTTAAGGGTAATACAGAGTTGGATAACGGAGCCTACCTGCACCAGTTCATGTCGTCGGATGACACCTACCAGTACTTCCGGTTACATCCCAGCATTCTCACCTGTTACTCCAGTCTGCTGTTCCAGCTCAACCGTGCCAGTACTGACGGTAAGTCATCGCTGACGGCTCTTTTAGTCGTTCCGAATACGGTCTATTCAGCAAGATATGGTAGCAGAATACAGTAGAAATGGTCCGACTCTGATAAACAAGGCACATGTCGAGGAAATGTAAACACAGCGGATTTACCCTACACAACACATGCATACATTATATATATTTGTAAACTGCATTACATTTACAATACATATAAAGTACTGAGAAGTGTATAAACCTCTTTTTTCTATGTATGTCACTTGTGTGAAAGCCATGGTTACCACAATAAAAATGACCAAAAAATGCCAAAAATTGCTATTTTTGACCCAAAATTTGACCCCCGCAACTAGTATTTTTTTTCCTAAGTTCTGTCTGAAATTAAAGATTACCTACCTGGTTGCAGAACTATCTGGGTCCCAGTAAAGTTGTAAAACTTGATTTTTGCATTTTTTTTCTACTGTATACTGCTACCTTATGCATCACTTTCTTTTTCCCAAAATTTAATTAAAAACTTTTAAATGTCTGGAAAATGAGACAATGAACACAACGATGTATCCGTTTCCTTTCTCACTTTAATAGTGACCGAGTAATATGAATTCTCCTGACAGGTTTATTTACCAATTCTGCTCTCAAACTACCAACAAAGGGAGGTAATCTGAAAAATGAAAACTTGAATAGGTTTGTAGTTTTCATGAATAAAATTTCGTTTTGGGTGAAATATGATGCTTTGAGATCATGTTCCTGTGAAAAACAAACAGTACAGTGATACTATGATGTTACTGTCTTGTTTGATGACGTCAAAGTAACTGTGATGTCATCATAACTATGACGTCATCAATGGGCATCTATGACATCATCGAGGATCACTGATATCAAAACATTGAACACTAGGAAACCCATCTCAACAACAAACTAGCAACAGACACACTCCCCGTGACCGATGAAAAGCACAGAAATGTCAGATATTCTGAAAAACCAGACAAGTGCCACCATAGCAACCGTTATTTACTTTCCTCGCCTAGAATTGACAGTGACCCTCAGAAATTGTTCATTTAACATATTTCGCTGGAAAAAAAAATTCTTTAGCTGTGATTATGGAAATAAAATTTATTGACATTGCTGACTTTGCTTATTTAATCTGTATGCTGAATCAAGTGAGAAAAAAAACATCTAAAATAGTGTAATTAGAATGAAAACAGATATTTTACCCATTTTCAATAAATACAACTTTATGTATTAGTAACCATGGCTACCGGGGGCTGAACTGAGTAAACAGACTGAAATCTAGTATGAATGCATCAGGAGATAGCCTGTGAACTAATTGATGTTTGATGTTTGGTATCAACTTTACCAATAACACAATTGACACATATGTGATGAATTGCAGAATTTCACAAGTGCCTGTGAAAAGCGCGAGTTACCCCCCTTTATACATCCACAGGTAATAGGCTATGACTTTTTTGAGTAGTTTTAAGCAATAATGAATGAGGTGAAGCTGAATCAAGCATATAAAGGCATTTTTTCAGAAAAAAAAATCAAGTTCTATGTGTATATGGTAGCAGAATATAGTAGAAATGGCCCGACTCTGATAAACAAGGCACATGTCGAGGAAATGTAAACACAGCGGATTTACCCTACACAACACATGCATACATTTATATACATTTGTAAACTGCATTACATTTACAATACATATAAAGTACTGAGAAGTGAATAAACCTCTTTTTCTATGTATGTCACTTGTGTGAAAACCATGGTTACCACATCATAAATGACCAAAAAATGCCAAAAATTGCTATTTTTGACCCATATTATATTTTATCGAAATATTTTGTTATGGTGTTTGAATTTACTTGCAACAAAACTCATTTATGTTCACTGGCTTTTAGATAGAAAGAATGAGAAAAGATTATTATTGGACAAATATTTTTGTAACCTGTGATCACATTCTATATCATAGGGGAGCAAATAGACCTTGTGGTTGTCAGGGGTTACCTTGCCGATCCGGAGCAAGTGTCCCTATTCAGCCAATCGACAGACGACCGATACAACACCCACACGCTGGGCGTGGCCATGCAGCTGAAGTTTGCCGAAAACACGTCCTCTGCATACACTCCAGCACGGCTACTAGAGGAAGTCGTCAAGACGTGTGGACCGCTGTTCAATCTTCAAAACGAGGCGATGGGACTCGGGCTGTATGCAAATAGTGTGTTTGTTGACATGCGGGATTTATTCGAGGTATGGGTTGCGCCCGATTCGCTCATACCCTACCCTGGCATGGACAAAAACGCCTACGAGGACTTCCTTGAAACTCTGCATACAGCAGCAATCGGTGGGTTGTTGACATATAAACAGATCTGGTTTATAGGGTTTCAAACTTATTTGATAACAAAGTAATATATTATATTATTTCATTAAAACAAAAATCACGTCGACATGTTTACTGTTAACACTATTAGATTTCGAGCTCATAAACTCTTAATTAAAAAGGAATTAACTTTAATACATCTGCTGTTATATTAGACATTAACAAATACAAAAATTGACAACTTTCAAAACGTATTAAAAAAAAAAAGAAAGAAAAAGAATTGTGTTTAAATGTCATTGTTGTGTTAGTTTAACAGAAATGTACACTTACTTATGCGATTACATGTTTTCGTCTTTCTATGGTTTACCATTACAGAGGGGCGAGTTGTTGACCCGGACGATCCAGTCGAAGCCTGTAACCTTGCTGTTATCCCTCTTAAACAGTCACCAACCTACCTATACAAGCTGCCGGAGCTCGTGAATCGCAGACGTAAACGATCCACACCGACAGATGTGTGTACCCCGAATGACAGCACCGACTTCTGTTTGTCTACTGTTGGCCATAGAAACTCCGAGGCGGCACTCGTGTGGGCGGATATGATCAGACAACACCTCGACCATGAACCCCCCTCAGAACTCCAGTACGCTGTCAGGGGGTGTTTTAGTGACTGTGGCACCTGTCTTGAAGGTACACACGAGTCTTATCATTTTTCTTTTAAATACATCACAACTACCGCCGCCACCACTACAATCACCATCATCATTATCATTATCATCATCATTATAATTTTGATCTTGACTTCCGGTTAGTGCCTGATAAGGCTTGCTCGAGTAGGCTCCCGACAAATTTTGTGTTTTTCACGAATATACTTATTTACCAGCGCTGAAGTTTGCCATATTATCATTTAAATAGTCCGAGATCATTCTCGTCTATAATTTGAGTTTTTGAAATTGGAACTTTGTCGTCATTTTTGGCTTTAATTACGTATATCAAAGGACAGAATTTTAACCGCTGGGTCTACATTTTGTTGTTGTTGTTGTTGTGACGAAGTGACGTCTGTAAAAAAAAATGTCATTCATATTTGTATTTTTTTTGAAACATTCTTTTCACATTTGACTTACATATACAAAAACTGTAATTATCATTGTGGTAAAAAAAATAATCTGGGCTTGGATAGACGCCATCTTTGTTTTACTGTCAATGTTTTACCCATACTCTAAACCATCTCGGTATCCTCTCACGGCTTTTGTTCATTCTTGCTTATATAAACGCGATCATCTGCTCGTGAAACATTTTTTTTTCTTCTGGAAAGTTAATATATCAATACAATTTTAAGGACAAATTTTGTGCATCATCATATTTTGATTTGTAAGAGACATTTCGTCATAAATGTGTCATCTCCCATTAATTTACGAGGCACAAATTAAATGTGGGACCACCAGCAGGCCTGCGGCATAAATCCAAATAATTTATAGTACTTTAGATCAATATCAGTATTATATTTTGACTTAATGATTCTTGATAACAGTTCAGAATAATAACGTTATTACTCTAAGATCTGACTAAAACTTTCTGATGCCGTTTGTAGTAATTTTCTGATGCCATTTGCACTGTGAGTGAGTCCCCTTCCAGTATAGATATCAGAATCAGAAATTTGGTAAATATGTTCGTGACATTTTGTACTGTTGTTCTACTATTTGTGTTTGTTCTTGTTTCGCTTATTCATATATGTTAAGATATAGTAGATCTGTTCTCCTGGCACTTAGACCAGTGAGTCATAGTATTATAACACATCTTTAAGAGGATTTTCAGGAATCAAATTCGGAGAAAAACTTGCGCACTAGATGTGGGACACGGGCAGGTAAAGGGTGCTGTTAGGCGAATACCGAGTGTTATCGGTGTTAAATCAAACGAAACCAGTTTTTACCCGCTCGAGCCTGAACACTGATAACCTCATCCATTTTGGTCACTACAAATGGTCTGTCTGCCTCGCACTCTTTCTTGCAGGGCAACACTGCACTTACAGAAGTATCGGGCATCGACACTATTGTGCATTCTCGTAACGATACTTCCACATGGATTCCGACATCATCAGTATCGCTCGAGAATTTACATGTCATCAAGCCAACAACAGCTGGTCACTGTAAGACAGTTAGTCCTCTGAATTTAGTGTCGTCCTTAAACTGGCGCTCAGTGAAGAATAACTCATTGCCCATCGGGGATTTTGTAACATATCAGGACACTGACATTCTTGCATTGACAGAAACCTGGTTTGGTTCAGATATCGATGACCAGGTCCTAGTTGAGCTAATACCAACAGGCTATGGATTCCACCACAATGCTAGACTCGGCAAACGTGGTGGTGGGGTGGCTATTCTGTTTAGGCCAAAGTGTGAGAATTCGCCCTTCCAGCCATGATGATGTATACACACACTTTGAGCACATGACTTGTTCTGTCATTGCTGGTGATAAACAATTTAGATTGTGTACCATTTACAGGCCTCCACCATCTAAACAGAATGCTTTCCGAAATACAGTGTTTTTTGATGAAAGGTCTACCTTTTTAGACCACCAAGTTATCACTGGTGATCTAAATTTCCACTTAGACGATCTATCTAATGTTGATGCTCGCCATTTCTCTGGTCTGCTAGATTCCAGGAGTCTGATTCAGCATGTGATAGAAGCTACACACATCCATGGCCACACACTGGATGTGGTTATAACGAGGGAGGATAACTCAGTCATTCATGGAGCTATTTCAGTGATTGATCCATGTCTAAGTGATCTAAAGGGGAACCAATCCGGTGATCATGTTGCTGTCATCACAACACTGAATTATAGTAAGGTAGCTCGTGCAAGGAAAAAAGTGAGCTTCCGGAAATTCCGCGAAATTTCAATACCAGATTTCAACAATGACATTCAGTCTTGTTCCGCCCTTCAATCTACTGAAGGCGAGGTTGATGATCTTGTTGAAGCATACACATCTGGTATAGAAGCCCTTATAGGGAAGCACGCACCTCTGCAAACTAAGGTGATAACTGTGAGACCGAATGCCCCGTGGTATAATGAAAATCTCCGGGTAAAAAAAACAGAACCGTAAAAAAACAGCGAGACAGTGGCGACGGACCAAATTAACCGTTCACCAACAGATTCATAGAGAGCAATGTCGGCTAGTTGGTTCACTACTCTTTCAGTCAAAGAAGGCTTATCATTCGGAAAGAATCGAAGAATGCGGCAAGGATAATAGACAGCTTTTTAGATTCACCAAAAACCTAATGGGACAGAAAGGTGAAATTATCCTACCAAGCTGTAATTCTGAAAAAGACTTAGCAAGCAAGTTCAGTGATTACTTTCTGAATAAAATCAGCTCAATCAGGAAAAATATTACCGAAGTGAACACCACTGCTGACATTGACATCTCTGTCATGACTGCTGACATTGACATCTCTGTCATGACTGCTGACATTGACATCTCTGTCATGACTGCTGACATTGACATCTCTGTCATGACTGCTGACATTGCATTTGATGGGAACCATTGGCAAAGCTCTCACTTACAACCCAGAACGAGTTGCGCAACATTATCATGACCTCGCAATCGAAGTCCTGTAAGCTTGATCCACTGCCTACAGACATATTAAAGCAATGTCTTGAAGCACTGGTATAGAAGCCCTTATAGGGAAGCACGCACCTCTGCAAACTAAGGTGATCATAAGGTGACTATTGAAATCATCAACAAATCATTGGCTAAGTCAAAAGTCCAGATCTGTGGTATATCTGACAAACTAACTAGTCGTCTGCAGAGGGTCCAGAACACTGCAGTACGACTAGTTGCTCGTACTCGAAAGAGAGACCACATCACACCTGTGCTTTATTCGTTGCATTGGTTACCTGTACCTCAGTACCTACAGAAGCTTGTTACCCTGTATCAGCCGTTACGATCACTGCGGTCGGTATCAGAATCTTTGTTGTGTGTCCCAAAACCCGTACTGTAACCTATGGAAACATATGCTTTGGAAGGAACCGGCTACGTTGTGGAATAGCTTACCATCTGCTATTAGAAAGTCAAATACCCTGGCCAAGTTCAAGAGGGACATCAAAACTCACCTCTTCACGTCTGCATTTTAGAATCTTTGCAAAGACGTCATGTAAATACCACCCTTTTATTTGTTCAATTATGTGCACATTGCTTGCCTAAATGTATAAAAGTAATTGTAAGCATTTGTTTTTGTTTCACAATTATAACCATTCCTATTATCCAAATGTTGTAAAGTGCTTTGTAGTAGTTTTACGAATTATATAGGGCGCTATATAAATGTTGTATATTACTATTAGTATTATCATCATCATCAACAACAATAATAGATATTTATTTAGCGCCATATCCACATCCTGCTTAATCTAGCAGCTCTAGAGCGCTTTATAAACGAATATAAAGGACGACATGTAGTAAAACTAAAGACTATATTTGTGCAATTAATATATGTCGTTGTATCGAGTTAAATCCGAAAACAAAATTTCATTGATTAACCGTCCTGTTGTGTTTTAGGAATTATTTACGAGAGGAAGCACAAAAACTGTAGTAACATGGTACACTGGATGCCGTACCCAATGTTGAATGACGATCCTGACGTCACAAACTTCTTCTCGCGTAATAAGCGATGGAGCAAAGAGCTGGCCTGCGGTCTACCTGGTCACCATTGCATAAATAAATCTCCCGCGTATGCTAAACTGGGTAAGGTGAACACTTCCTATAATTGTGTAATTAAACAGCAAATGTCTCGCATATATTTATCTATTTCTGCAGGGTAAAAGTGTTTTATAGTGAAATTTGATTAAACTGTCATCGATTCTTATATGTATATCGGTAATTTTCAGACTAGAATCTAATATCTTTATTTAGCCCCGCATGTGTACCGTGTGTACCGACCTGACCCGCAGAAGGCCCAAATCGAGGAGCTGTATTCCAAGGAAGATAACCCATCTCCTCTCATGTCAGTCCTGGAAGAAACTTACGCCATCAACGCCAAGGGCAAGGTCACCTTCTGGGTCGAGGACGAAGTCGACATGAAGGCCATGGAGGTCCCGTTCAAGGTAGACCTCGTATAGTTCCTGTTGACTGTCTTAATCTATCGAAGATATTTGATAGTGACTGTCACTAGAAACAAAGGACAATGTGAACGTGGGCGTAATACACTCTGATAAAAAGGACCTTGTTGGCGTAATTCACTCTAATAAAAAGGACATTATTGGCATAATTCACTCTGATAAAAAGGACATTGTTGGCGTAATACACTCTGATAAAAAGGACATTGTCGTCGTAATTCACTCTGATAAAAAGGACATTATAGGCATAATTCACTCTGATACAAAGGACATTGTTGGCGTAATACACTCTGATAAAAAGGACATTATTGGCAAAATTCACTCTGATAATAAGGACATAGTCGGCGTAATACACTCTGATAAAAAGGACTTTGTTGGCTTAATAAACTCTGATAAAAAGGACATTGTGGTCGTAATTCACTCTGATAAAAGGACACTGGGGGCGTAATACATTCTGATAAACAGGACATTGTTGGCGTAATACATCCTGATAAAAAAAGACCTCGTGGGTGTAATACACTCTGATCAAAAGGACTTTGTTGGCGTAATTCACTCTGATAAAAAGGACATTGTTGGCGTAATACACTCTAAGAAAGACATTTTGGGCGTAATACACTCTGATAAAAGGGACATTGTCGGCGTAATACACTCTGATAAAAATGACATTGTGAGTGTAATACACTCTGATAAAAATGACATTGTGAGTGTAATACACTCTGATAAAAATGACATTGTGAGTGTAATACACTCTGATAAAA